GGTCCGAAATTTCGTCTTGCACGTTTGTTTTCGGTAAAGATTATGCACCTTCTAGAACTGTACTTGTTTGAATGTTTCGAGTGATCGATAGGTCACTGCGCTAGATATAAATGAATTTCAGTACACACATCACGATTGAAAGGGTAGATGCCGGACGAAAAAAAAATTAGATCTAATATTCTTGGATGTGAAAGCTAATTGGAACGCTTTACTAGCTAAAGCAGCAATGGTGTAAATGGTCAAGGTTTGACCTGGATTTGAAACCATTCGTGATGCACACTGAGAATTATAATAATTTTTCAAGGGGAAGTAAACGGATACGTTCAAGGGCTGCATTTTATGGCTGCAGTGTGGTGGAAACGTAAGCATCACAATTCCATTTTCTTTTGCTTTAGGGACTCAACGTAAATATGGCTCTCGTGGTCATCCATTAGCAGCAATACTTTGTTTGTCATTGAACAACCAGTATGTTGTATGGTCCAGGAAAACAACAAAGTTTTCGGAAGGCATACATCTACTGGGATGAGTAACACCATTTCCTGGAAATTACTGGACACCTGGACCACAACTTAACATATAAGTAGTTCTTAAAATTTACTCTTAGAAAGATGAAAAATGGTGGAATTAATCTCTCTCCAGCACTAATACCACAAGAGGTAGATACTAATGTGGCTCATTCAGCAAACGTGACGTTTCCAACGTGTTTAACACTCCTCGTTGCCAAAATTTTGGGTGGTTTATGTACCAGATCTGAAGAGGTTCAAATTTTTCGCGGTTTAGTACCGAGTATAACTTATTGAAAAACGTGATAACATTTGTGCGGTTGAAACTCGTACATCGTGACCAACTGGTTGACTCTGGAGTCCTCAGCGATAACTCAGGGTGGCGATGTCTAAAACCGCGATACCAATCATAGCCAGCAATGGATTTATTATCCCATGTTTTAGGATATTTTTTATGATTGGCCTTCGCAAATTGCAATGTAAGTTGACGTGCACATGGGATTGTTAAACCATGCTGCATTGGCAAAGCACGAACTAGATAATCCGATAAAAGACCATCTTCTTATATATATATATATATATATATATATATATATATATATATATATATATATATATATATATATATATATATATCGGTTTTAAAACGTTCTCCTACGTCTTCCGATGCCTAGTCGCCATTCACTTCGGTCCATCCAAAGGTCTTCATCTAATTCTCTTTCTCTCATACTTCGATTTATGCCTTCTCTCCAACTAAGGCGGGGTCTTTCTCTTTTTCGTCTACCATGAGGGGTCCACGTTAGGATTTGTTTCGGGAGTCGTTCTTCGGACATTCTTTGTACGTGTCCATACCATCTAAGCTGTTTGGTACTAATGTCATCTACTATTGTGTGTTTCACATTCATTATTTCCCTAATTCTGTTGTTGGTTACCCTTTCTAATCTTGATTTTCCTGCTGAGCGCCTCCAGAAATCCATTTCTGTTGCTTCAAGTTTTCTCTTGTATCTTTCTTTTATTTGCCATACTTCACTGCTGTAAGTGATTATACTCTTAACAATTGTATTGTATATTCTATGTTTGTTGTTGTTTGATATTGCCTGGTCCCACAGTATGCTATTGAGAAGGGTAATTGCTTTTCTTCCCTGGTTGTTTCTTTCTTCTATCGTCCGGTCTACGTTTCCTTCTTGTGTGATGGTCATACCCAGGTATTTATATGCGTCGCAATGTTTAATAATTTCGCCATTCCCCAGTGTAAGGTCCTGCTGTGTCCCACCGATACACGTATATTCGGTCTTTTTTATGTTTATTTCCAAACCACCCTTTTTGTACTCCTCTATTAATTTCCTTGTCATATATTCTATATCATCGTAGTCTTGCGCTAGTACAAGTTGGTCGTCTGCAAATGACAAAGTGTATATTGTGTTGTTGTTGATCGGTAATCCCATGTTTTTGCATTTGCGTTTCCAAAGTTTTAGAGTTTGCTCGAGGTAGATCTTAAATAATGTCGGTGAAAGGCAGCACCCTTGTTTTAGGCCTTTGCTAATTTGGAATCCTCTCGATAGCCCGCTTCCAACTTTCACCCTTGCTGCAGTTTTGGTATACAATTGTTTCGTCGCTGTTATTAAATTTGCGCTTATATTGGTTTTCTCTAATGCTTCCCATAGTTTGTTTTGTGGGATGCTATCATACGCTTTTCTCTCAAGTCCACATATAACAGATGCACCTCCTGGTTGACGGCCAGTTTCTTCTCAATAACCTGTGTAATACAAAACAGATGGTCTACCGTTGATCTCCCTGCCCGGAATCCTGCCTGTTCTTCAGCTTCTATATTTTTATATTCGTTTTCGATTTTATTTTTAATCAGTTTTCAGTATATTCGGCTGATCGAGTTCGTTACAGCGATGCCTCTGTAGTTGTCACATTGATCCCGTCTGCCTTTTTTATGTATGGTGGATATCCATGATGTCTTCCATTCTTCTGGGATTTGCGCTCCGTTGATGTATCTTTGAAAGAGTTTAGCCAGGTTTTCATATAATTTTGTTGTGCCATATTTTATTAGTTCAGCTGGTATGTTCCCTGGTCCTTTGTTATTTTTTAAAGACTTACATACTTCTTCTACTTCTTTTGTTGTTATTCGTAATGGTGAGGCTAAGATATTTACGTTGCTGGTATCACTGTTATTTAAAAATTCCGCTCTGTCCTCATTTAGGAGTTTTTTAAAATATTCGTCCCATTGATCCGGTGTGATTGATGATATTATATCTCTTTGCTTTTCCTGTCGTAGCGATTTTAATACTTTCCAACTTTCTGTACTTCTTCTTCTTCTTTGGGTGCCGTGTCCGTATTCAGACGTATTTTTTCAGTGGGACTGTCTCCAATTTGGATAGAGGCTACTTGATTGTAATATAAGTATTTCAGCAGTCTTATATCATAGTGGTCAAGTCCTGCTGCCCGTAGGCAGTCGAAAAGTGTATTGTGTTGGACTCTGTCGAACGCCTTCTCGAAGTCGATGAAACAAACATAAACATTCTTTCGGAATTCACAACTTTTTTGTAATAGAACGCGCATACAGAATAGTGCCTCTCTAGTTCCTAGACCGTTTCTAAATCCAAATTGCTTATCACCCATCTTACTTTCGCATAGAAGGAATACTCGGTTTTGTATAATTCGTAAGAGTATCTTCAGTGTGTGACTCATCAAACTGATTAGTCTAAAATCGCTGCATTTGGTGGGCCTGCTTTTCTTTCGTAATGTTATAAACAGTGACTCTAACCAATCATCTGGTATTTTTCCTTCGTTGTAAATTTTGTTGAAGAAATTGATTAAGCAGGCAATGCTTTCCTCATCCAAAAGTTTAAGTAATTCGGCAGGGATTTGATCTGGTCCAGGTGCTTTATTGTTTTTGGCTTGCTGTATTGCCTTTTCGACTTCCGAATTCAGTATATTGGGACCTCTGTCCAACTGGTTGTCATAGGCAGTATTTGGAGCATTTTCCCTAGAAGCATCGTCAAAAAGGTCAGTGATGTATCTCTGCCATTATTTGCACTGTTGTTCGTGATCACAAATCTGTATTTCTCCGTCCTCCTAAATGTGTGTTAATCATGTTACACTTTTGCTCCCAAGCCTCATTCTTCTTTTGGCATATCATTTTTCGCACTTTAGTTTGGGTCCTCTTGTATTCTACCTTATCAGCGTCGGTCCTTCTGTTCAGAAATTTTTTATACTTCTCTCTTTTATTTTTAATCTCTTGTTCTATTTCTTCGTCCCACCAATACGAAGTTTTTCTGTGGTTTTTAACTTGGAGTCCGAGAGCCTCTGTTGCTGCTTCCTGAAGACATGTTTTTATATAATGATAATGCTCTTCATTGCTGGTAAATTGCATGGTTTCTAACTTTTTATCTAGTCTACTCCTGTATAAATCCCTCACGCTTTCTTGTTCTAAGCTGTTTAGGTTGTATTTCTTTTCTGTTAGTTTTTCTATTTCCTCTGCAGCTTGTTTTAAATCTCTTGCTCTATCTATTCCTATCGTGAGCTTTGTTTTTAATAGATGGCCATCTTCATCTTCTTCATAGGTAGAAAATAACGCAGTTTTGAAATTAGGTGAATAAGTAATGGAGTCGTCAGGGATATGTAACTTCCTATTTTGCACATATCAGTTAAGCGTTTGCGTATCGATATACTTTTTTCCAGTTGCTCGTAATTTTGCTCCCTCAAGAACGTGCGGTTTTCATAACGTCAGGAGAAAGAACTGCTCGTTCTGTCTTTTTAATACAAAAACGGGGCATATTATATCTAAAATAATATTATCATTTTAATCGGTTTAGCAGTTTTATGCCCATTTACACTAGGTTCCGTTAAAAATTAACGACTACTTAACAAATACTAATCATCAAAGGACATCTAAAACTATCAGTTAAATTTTAACGGAAACTGGTGCAAATGGGCAATAATCTTTTAAAAATACTAGTAAACCTTCCTACTTCTTACTTTTTAAATATTCCATTTTTTTTATTCTATTCTATTAATTTACTAAATAGTGTAAAGTTTTTTTATTATCTCGCAAATTACTGATGAATTTGGACTTGTGAACATTCAAATTGACCTTCTTTTTATAACACAATAGTTTCGTAATACAAAAGTTGCTCCTAATATAATCAAAGAATACTCCAGGTAAACCACAGTAAAAAATTACGTTTTCTGACTTTGACCTTTGTTTATAATAAAAATAAAGCAAATCTGACCGCAATATGTATTTTTCATTAACTATGTCCCCCCTACTCCTTGAAGCTACCAGACACCTGTAATAAATCTTTGCTTGAAATCGATCATTTTTTCATTTCTGGACTGGGTTCGGTACACTGGATGTTCCAAGAATCGAATCTAATTACCAAAAGGTATAAAACAGATCAATAATCAATAGTAAAAGTAAGATATATAAAAATAAAATCCAAAATAAAATTTATTTGTTTCTAAAACTATATATACATTTTTTATTTGTTATAAATTTTTTCTTCCAGACTGCCTTTCTTGTTCTGCAAATTTTAAGTTTAGGAGTTCTATTTGTAGTTGATTTCCATTTATTTCTACTTTTCGTTTGAGAGAATTTAGTGAATCTTGTGCTTCTTGTGATTTTCTTTGCAATTCTTCACGTTGGAAAGTTGCAGATTTTCTAAAAATAACAACAAATATAATATTTTATTATAATCGAATATTTTGTATTATGGAGATAAAATACAAATATTTAGAGATATTAAAACTGCCATAAAACATTATTAAACGTTGACTGATGATAAAGAAAAATAAAATAACGAAGGAAGAGAGGGTTTAATTGGCAGCAATTGTGAATACTTTCATACAATTAACAATTATAATGTCTAAAATAAGTGTCTTAAGACACTTGAAGAAAGAAAATCAACAGAAAAAACTGTATATATCCAAAGAATTGTGAATGATCTATACTTACGCTATGGCTAAGAATTGCAATCCTACAACAAAACTGGCTAATGTCAAACAGATTACCACTACCTTGAAATTAGATACTCTTTCTTGACCCTTAATACCATAATATGGCTTCTGCATATACATATCATCTTTGCTTCTATCACGATTGGCATAAAAAGTACGATCAGTCCACTGGCTAGAAAAATAAATATTTTTTTATTGGAAATGTCTTTCATTTATATTACAAAAATACTAGTGATTGGAGACTCCTGACTAATTTAAATTTCGATATAGTTATATAAAGATATAGATATATAAAGATATAAAGATTTGATATAGTTAGTATAAAGACAACGCCCAAAAAAATCTAAAAAAAAAAGGTAAAACTATTACTTTAAGGTAGTAGTTCTCAGTCCAAGTGAACAGTGTGCTGTAGTAACTCAAAAGTGTTGTAGGAGCTCTCTCAAGAAAATCCCTTCTTTAGTCAGTAAAATTGAAGCTCTGAAGTCAGAATTGGAATCTTTCAAGTTGGAGTTGGAATAATGAGGTTATATACCAGGAAGTTCTTGTTGTGCTTCAAGATCTAGTGATCTAGTAACATATGGTTTTCAATGTCAAAAAATCTTCTGATAAGAATCTTGAACAGAGAATCAGGAATGATATGGAAAGGTAATTAATCAGACAGATTTAATCAAGGTACTCCAACTTAGAAAAGCTGTACACAATCGAAATAAACCTATTAACGTCATTACTAATAGTCCTACTATTTGTTAAACAAAATTTCATCAAGATCAGCTTAAGAAAGTCCTTGATGAGCTTAACACTAGAAAGAATAATGGTAAGGATAACCTAGCTGTGAAGTATTTTAGTGGATTACTAACAATATTTCAATTTCAGTCAAAAAAACTAAAACCAAATACAGTAGAACCCCGATTATCCGTGTGCGGATTATTCGGGCTGCGGATTATCCGTGCTATTTAACATTAACTTGGCGCTTTATCAGAATGACTTCACCGCAAATTACTACGCCGTGGGAAAGGTGCATAATGTAATATCCATAGCGTCAGTGCTCGGGGAATCCCTGGAAAACGGTAGCTTATATTATGCCACTGCGCGCTGCGTGAAACGTACGCATGTGTGAGATTTAGTACATATTTACATAGTTGGAAGCTACAAATCAGTCGCTATTCTGATTATTCTTATAACGTGTTTTTATTTTAAAAATGTCAACAACCAATGTTAACCGAAAGAGAAATGTTTTAACGATTTAACAATAACTAGAGATTTTAAACAGCATGAAAGTGTCACATCATTATCACGGAGCTACGACGTTGGTAAGCAAACAATACGCGATATTAATAGAAACAAATTGAAACTACAAAATTTTATATCTCCATCTGACTCTTTTAAAAATATATCTGCACGGAAATCGTTGAAAGGATCGGACTTATCAACACTCGATGAAGCGCTTTCCAAGTGGTTTCTGCAGAAAAGATCTGAGGGCGTACCAATTTCGATGTACCAATGTGTGCTAAGTAAGCGGAGATTTTTCACAAAAATTTGAAAATCAAAGAACCTTTTAATGCATCCAGTGGTTGCTTACATCGATTCAAAAAATGTCACGGAATTCGTGAGCTTACCATCCAAGGCGAAAGCAAGCTCAGTGTCGACGGAGAAGCAATGGTGGAATTTTGCTATGAGCTGAAGACCATAATTACAGAAAATAATTTACAACTTTCTCAAATTTATAACGCTGACGAAACAGACTGGCGAGCAGTACCTACAAAACTTTAGTTGCAGGTAATGAGATGAGTGCACCTGGGTATACAAAAAGTAAAGACAGGATATCCGTGTTATGTTGTGCCAATGCGTCTGGCAGCCATAAATCGAAGCTGACTGTGATTGGAAAGTCAAAAAATCCTCGCGCTTTTAAAAATATGAAACGACAGAATCTCCTAGTTCACTATTATAACCAGAAGGCTGCCTAGATAACTTGTGACATTTTCAAAGATTGGTTCCATGAAAAGTTCATTTCTGAAGTAAAGTTATATTTGAAGAAAGAAAAATTACCACAAAAGGCGGTTCTTCTTCTGGATAATGCTAGTGCTCATCCCAATGAGCCGACCCTAAGATTTGACGAAGGAAACTTCTTTGTTCTTTTTTTCCAGCCAATATTACATCCATTGCTCAAACAATGGATCAAGGTGTTATTGAGACAATGAAACGACTCTACCGAAAATAATTTATGATGAACTTGTTGGATGAAGTTCATCTGATGAAGTTTTGGAAATTGTTCACCATAAAAGATGCAATTTTTACAGTGGCAAATGCATGGCATGGAGTGACAGAGAGCTATTAATAGAGCTTTTTACAAAATAATGACGCTAGAGGACGATAAAAGTATCATGGAATATGATGATAAAGACACTACCATAGCTGAACTAACTGCAGTAGTGCGCAACACAAGAAATTGATGAAACCGAGGTTGAGAGATGGACAGAGTGTGATAAAAATGAGTGAGGCTATCAGCTCTTCAGCAACGACGAAATTCTCGAACTGGTTTCCCATCAGCCCGGTACGTCACAACCTGATTCATCTGAAAATGAGAGTCAAGATAAAGACAATGATGGAACGTTATTAATTAACAGAATAACTAACCAAAAGGCTGAGGAAGCTGTCAATGGTGTAATAAACTTTGAGAAATTTGAGAAAAAATTTAATTTATTTAAAAATTTAAAAAATTTGTGTACATACACATTAAAAAAATGTTCTGATTATCCGTGCATTTCACTTATCCGTGCCACCGCCCGGTCCCGTAGGCGCAGCAAACCCGTGAAGCACGGACAATCGTGGTTCTACTGTACTTCTATATATCTATATTATCATAACGTTGGTGGTCTTAGGCCAAGATTGGTAAATCTTCATAACGCTCAGTGTACTTACGACATATTAGTTCTTTGAAAGAACTAATATTATATTATATTATTATTATATTAGAAATTTGCTTGGGAAAGTATAGTATATTCAGATTTAACTGTTCTTTTAATACTAGTAATAAAAGTCATGGTGATAAAGTTTTGATTCTCGTCAAGAATAGCGGTACAGCAAAACAACTAAAAACAAGTATTAGTAGTGTGGAACATGCAGTGTATTTGTGCTGGCTTCCTTTAATAATGTTTCTGTGATATTTGAGCAGTTTACATTCCTTACAAATTCTAGAGACGATGAATATGTAGATCACTGCACTGCTGTTGAAGAGCTATTGGCTGAGAACCAAAATCCACCACTGTATCTCTTTGGAAATTTCAATTTACCGCTGGCTACTCAGAAGCATACCAGCGAAAATGATCTTAGTGTCTTTTCCTTCTTCATACCCAGCAGTAACTATTGCCGAATACTTTACCTACCTTAATCTGAAGCAAGTAATCATTGTGCCTTAACAACATGGTAAATTGTTGGACTTAATACTTACAAATGATGACTCACAATTTGTTACTTCCTAATAATTTTCACCAGACTGCCATATCTTTGGAATTTCCTTTTGCTGATTTTTGTCCCTTAGCTTACAGTTGTTCTAATTATAATTTTAAAGATGCCGATTATGATGCTATCAACAACTTCTTCTTCTTTAAGTTCCATCTTCTATCGAAGGTTGGAAATCATCATGGCTATGCGGACTCTGTTGACTGCCGCTCTAAAAAGTTCTGCACTACTGCATTCAAACCATTCCCTTAAGTTCTTAAGCCAGGATATTCTTTGTCTTCCCACATTTCGCTTTCAACAACTACTTAGCACCAATATCATGGCATGAAATTTTGTATAATCTTGATATAAATAGAAGTGTTGAATCCTTTTATCAAATTTTGACATAAATATAATGTTATTCACATGTATGTACCCATAAAAAATTATAGGCTTCCTAAATTCTCTCGATAGTTTTTCTCAAATCTGAGAAAATGTATTATAGCTAAGAAAGTTTCTCATGCTAACATACATTATGTGTTGATGATTATCTTAATTTTCAGAACTACGAACTATATTTAAAAATTTGACAAAGCTTTGTCATAATTCTTATATTTCTTAGACTGACACTGCGATTATATTGAACCCCAAGAGCTACTGGAATCGTGTTAATAATTACGAAAGGGTAATGTGGCAGAGAATGGTATTGAGATTGCCAACTTATATGCAAGGAAATTTTCTGAGTGGTTAACACCTAACCACAATAATCCACAACATTAACCTAACAGGTTAACTTGTTAGGTTGATATTGTGGATATACCCTTCATTCATGTGGAAATTTATGATAAAATCTTGTCATTGAAATATAAATTAAACTGTGATCTGGTCTAATGTTTCCAGTTATTTTCTAAAAACATGCAGTCACACTATTTGTGTAAGTACTGCTATGTTTTTTATTTAACCTTTGATTGAAATTGCAACTTTTTCCATCAATTTGGAAGGATAGCTTTATTTCTCTTATTTTTAAGAAAGAATATAGGGAGAATGTAAAAAATTACTGAGCTGTAATTATACTGTCTTCTATCTCTAAGTTGTTTGAGTTCCTGTGATTTTCTATATGATAATAGTGAAAATTATAATTTTTTTTTTTTTTTAACCTATTCTCTATCCTTCCATTGTTGGATATAGGTCTCCCCAGTTCTCTCCATCTTTCCCTATCTTGAGCTGTTCTCTGCCATGTGGGACCTCCTTGTTTCCTGATGTCATCTTTCCACCTCATCTGTGGTCTGCCTCTTGATCTCTTTGCATTGTATGGACGCCACTTTCCGATGGCATTGTTCCATCGTCCGTCGTGGAGACATTCATTGTGTCCAGCCCATTTCCATTTCAGTTTTGCTGCTTGTTCTATCGCGTCTACTGTCTTTGTTCTGGTTCTGATCCACTGGTTACGTTTTCTATCTCTAAGTGATACACCCAATATTTGTCTCTCCATTGCTCTTTGTGCCTTCCTTATCCTATCCAAATTGGCCTGTGTAGATGTCCATGTCTGCGCTCCGTAGGTGAGCACCGGTATTACACAGGAGTTATATACCTTGCTTCTTAAGTATAGAGGGATTGTTTGATTTTTTAGAACGTAAGAAAGTTTGCTGAACGCTGCCCATCCCATTCTTACTTGTCTCGATATTTCGGCTGTTTGATTTTCTCTGTTAGCTCTGATTGCTTGTCCTAGATAGATATACTCATTTACCTGTTCTATTTTTTCTGTTTTTATTTTTATTGCCTCTTGGTTTTCCGTGTTTGTCATTACTTTTGTTTTGTTGAAGTTAATTTTTAGGCCTTTTTGCAGTGATTTTTCATGAAGTTCATTCAGCATTAATTCCAGTTCTTGTCGTTCCGAGGAGATCAGATCAGATCAGATATGCAGACCGAAAATTATAATAGCTAACTAATAATTGATTATTATGAAAAGTGAATTTGTCCATATTCAGACACACTATAAAAAAAATAATCAGTAATGTTAATATTTTCAGTAATCATAAAAAAATTAAAGCATCTCTGAAAATATTTTTCAGACAAATGTTGATTAATCTTAATGTAAAAAGAATGGTACTTGTTAATTTAAAATTCCGCAGAAAATAGACTGACAAATCAGTCTCTCATTTAACCTCACCTGTAAATCTAGAAGTTTGAAGTAGGTTTTCAAAGATTCTTTTATCAGGATTATGTCAATCTGGGACCTTTCCTGAATATATTCTATAAATTACAACTAAAAATTACAGTTTATATCACCCTCATGTACTTACAATGTTACATGATTTACTATAAGTGACAGAAAATAGAAAAACAAGACAACACTTACATTGGGATTTGAGTTTTTATCATAGGAAACTGTTATATTTTCATTAGACATGCCAATATCAGATTAGGTTTTTCACATTGGGTGTGCAGATTTTCTCACTTTAAAAGTGATTCTTGTATCATTCATACATTTTTGGGTATTTGATCTTACACAGTATTTTCCTGAATTGTATGTATACTAATTTCATATACCTTAATTTTTTAATAACATTTACAATAGTTAACACTGACGACATTTTGAATAACTCCTTTAAACAGCTTTTTAATTAAATTAAATAAAAAGAATAAAATGTCTGCTATGTTATATAAATATAACATTCATGAAGGGGTCAAGCTATTTATTGATATTTGAGTTTAATTGATAATTAAATAGATTGAATTTTATATGTTAATATTTGTTTCACTTAGAATTTTATGTTTGTGGTTTGAGAAAATATTGAATCTCTTCAAAAATGCCAAAGTGAAGTGTAAATTATCAAATGGATTTGTTTCATTTTTGGATCATTCTTCTTATTTTTCACATTTTACCTACTTACTTATTTTCTTTCCCTCTGTTATAAACTTGTGGTCCATATTGATAAACCTCTGTAGTCCTATTTGGAATTAAACCTAGGTCATAGTTTCTTCTAGATTCCACATTACTTAAAACTTTGTAAGACTCATTGATTGATAGAAACTTAGAATGTGCATCTCTGTGTTTATTTATGTCAGGGTGATGCTAAAAATGGAGAAATTTATTAGTAAATACTGATATTATGTGATATACGAAACTACTATATAAACATGTTGATAATATAATTGAAAATAGAAAAAATGTGAAAAATATCAAGATTATAAAAATAATAATAAAATTAAATAAGAACTGTCAATATTACTTGCTTCTTTAGATAGTTTGATGAAAGATTCCTTAATTTCTTTAGACGTACAAGTTCTTGGCAAATTTAATACATCGTAATGCGTTTTTGGACAGTTGCTAAAAAGTATTTTTAATTAAAATAGACTTGGTATGTGGTTTTAGTATATATTATAAAAATAACCTACCTTAAATTATAAATTATATGAAGTATTGGAGAGGTCTTCTGTTTAAGAATTATTGATGAAAATGAATACATATCACTGAAAATTTAGATCATTTTGAAGTTAATGGGTAATTTAAATAGACATTTATTTTTATTTTGATTTAAGATTTAATGTTTGACACTGACATTTGTCAAAACTTAATCTGTGCTGTGGTTTGGTTTTTTGCTGGATTGCTCGATGGCTGTGGTTCACCAGGTTCAACATGGGTTCAACCCACGGTTCCTTAGTAAGTCTACGAACCGTGGGTTCAACCCGGTTCAACCAATGACGTAATAATATCATTGGCACAGAATAAGAAACAGATTGTTATTTATTCTGTCTCTGTCGTTTAATGTCACAAAGCACATTACACATCAGACGTCATAATCCAAGAGTAGAAGCAAGAACAAACCATTTTTTAAATATTTCATAATCAGCTGATGATTTTCTCCATCTCAATCTCCAGCACCATACAGTTTTTAGATTTTTAGATGAAGGAAGATTGATGAGTATATTTTTTGTTAAATTGTAAATGGCAAGTGTAAATATTTCCGTGGGTATGTGTTGAACACGAGTTTAGTAGTATATTGGGTTTATGAGCGAAAATTAACAATGAGATGTAATGAGTAAATTCTTAAAATTTGGAATATGTGGTGTAGATATATCCATAGAGCTCTCACATTTAATTCATGTACAAAGAATGTTTAATGCTTTTGCAAATACCGTTAGTGGTAAACATTCAACATTTGATAAATTAGTAGTATCAACAGTATCAAGTGATGTAAACAAAAACTTATCTGTACCTTATGACAATAAGCCAGAAAAATCTCAAGATGTAGAAAATATTTTAAATCAGATAATACAACTTAGTTTGAACTTATGCGATAATATTCAGATAGTTGATGAAAATAATTTGTATTGCAAAAAGCAAGTGCTTCTACAGGATACCATAAAAAATCAAGTTGATCAACAATATAATTACAATAAAGTCCCACAGCCTTATTGGTTACCTTGCTACAGTCCATCATTATTTTCAAATTTATATCGACACTGTTATAATAGTAATCAATTTTATCAAAATATATTCCCATCAAATATATTGTTAAGGCAATTTCACACTCAACAAGTACAGAGGAAGAAATATAAGAAACATAAATACATAGATAACAGTGCTGGTAAGCTTTATATTTTGTAATTTTTATTTTTATGCCTATATCAAAATTTTTGTGGAACTTTTTTCTTTTCAATATTTCCAGTAAGACTGTCAAATGTGTGGTATGCATTAATTGTCTGTAAAAGTATCTTATTTATTATCCTTTTACTGCAATCTTCTACACTTTCATTATGTAACCTAAGAGTTAAAGAATCATATGATTTGTGCTAAAATTGTTTTTCATCATTTTTATCAATAACATCTCTACTATACAGATGTTGAAGAATTGCAAAATTATGCTATGATTTAATTATACACACAGTAGATCTTCAGATGTTATAGATTCTCTAACAGCTTTAGAAAGATACAAATGATAATTTTTAGTCTTGTGAGTTTTGAACAGCCACTATGAACTGTAGTACCATAGTCACAATATCCAGATCACACATACATGATAGTGATCAAAAGTTCAACTCTCAAGATCAACTTCCCAGCTGTAGATTTGAAAATTTAATGTGAATATTACACACAGAATAGTAAAAGTAATATTTCATTGGAAGGGTGATAATAATTCTACAATTGATGCTATAAAAATATTTTAACACTTGTATATATATATATATATATATATATATATATATGTTATTCCAAAACTTATGTTACTTTAAAATGTATATTTTGTCATGTTTTAGGTACCAATATCATGTCTTTAAGATTGTGGGAAAATACATGTGAGAAAATCAGTGGAACCCCTGGTTTTATTTTTACTTTAATGTCATACAATGTTCTTGCTCAAGATTTAGTGGAACAGCATCCTTATCTTTACAAGGAGCATGACTCATCTTCTTTGTCTTGGCCTACCAGGTGGAAAAATCTATTTGAAGAAATTTCTCAGTTTAAACCAGATGTAAGTACCAGATCTGTTACTTTTTTGCAATATTTGTCACCCTATCAAATCATGAGCTTTATTTAGCTATCAATCCTTTCTCTTGATTTGTATATGTTAAAGATGTCAAGATTTGTGTTAAGGAAACTAGTATGTATTTGTACTTCCAAGTTGCCTGAAAATTACACACATATTTATGACCTGTAAAAATCAGGGTTACTAATTTTACCATGAATCAATTTGAATATGAAACATACATCATACATCAATTGTCAAGAATATAAAGTAGACACCTTTAGCCAACTTAAGTTTTCCTTAAATCACTCCTTTCAGTTATATGAATAAAAGAGACAACCTCTTGGGATTTCTTTTTGACTTCAAACTGATAGGATAGTTGTTACTGAGACACTTAACTAGATTCATATAATATTCATATTAGGTTATTATCTGGACTGCTGGCAGTCTGGATTTAAATTCCATTGAACATATTTGAGATGAGAGCTTTGAGATAAGCTGTTATCACCTGCAATTTATGCAGGTATCTCTTGACTGGCACTTGTCCAGTAAGAAAGCCTGTTATAGCTCTGAGCTGATTCCTGCTTGCTTTGCACAGTACTTCAACCCTATTAACACATCCAATATGCAGTTATTTTCCCAGTGGGAGTTATGTTCTGCCAATCTGTCAAGTTGCTTTCAGTATTTTCACACTAGCCTAGAGTCCAGCTTAGGAGTTATGAGGGACACCATAACTGCTTGGCTATATATGCATATATTGATCCATTTGAGTTCTAAAAGTCTTATGTTTTTTCCCTGGCACAATGCATGATTACAAAAATCTCTGCCTGAAATACAGAGATATATTGTCCTACTGTAATAGAAATACAGTAGACTCCCTCTATAACGAGAACTGAAATGGCAGACTAATTACATCGTTATAAGCGGATCTCATTATATACAACAACATAAATACTGTGTTTGTTAACAAGTAAACAACATAAAGTTGTTTACTTTTATTGTCAATGATATATGTTAAAACAAAAAAATCTGTATTCTGTAAATCTGTATAAAACATATTTTCAAGAATAACATAAACTACTGCTTCTGCAATTGGAAATATGTGAAACAGTTTTATGCTTCTTCATTTGTGTTTTGTCTTTGGATAAAGTTTCTGACAACCTTTAAAACACTTTCTACATCTTGTCTATTAGGACCTATATTATTAGATGTGAATGGTCAACCCCCTACAATGCCACTTGTAAATCATAAATTGTAAATTTCTAACTAAGAATCATAAATTATAAGAGGTTTATTGTGGGCAGCATTTAGAAAGGGTATTTATTTATAGCTACGGCGGGGCCAAACTGTAAAAAACACGTTTTTCAATCTTATTTTTTCTCATTATAAGCATATTTACCTCGCTATAGAGGGTTATAGTTCAATAGAAATTTCACGGGACATCTAATGTACCTAGTTATAAGTGAAACCTCGTAATAACTGTGTTCATTATAGAGGGAGTATACTGTACCTAAATTTCCACCACTACCGAATATTCCGGCATCCTTCCTTTCTACAGTTTTAGACCCATCAGCATACCAGGTATAATCCTACAGTTTGGGTTAAGTATTTCCTCTGCTCCATCGCTCCTGTGGGCAAATCCCCTCTTGGAAAAGAACTTCTTATATATCTACCATATGGTCTGAAATTATATATAAAGGAACAAGGTTGAGTAGGGCTCCATGGCTGCCATTGCGGTAATTTCCCATAGCCCCAGTGATTCTGAGGCAAGCAAGTGCACCTTGCTTAGTTTGATGATGACAATTTTTGCTGAATTTTTGGCCATCATACAAAGGATGCAGATGTAATTGTGGATTTTACATCTCTGGTTATAAACTACACATTTTTCATGAGTGTATGGCTACCATTAATATAATTTCTGCTCTTTTTTTGTATCTGCTGATTCCAACAAAACCTAGGAGAGGCTTGGAAAGGAAACATCTTGACATTTCAAATAAAAAATTACAGAAGTCCCTTTCCCCCTTATTCTGAGAGGGTTGAAGCATCTTTAAACCCATAAAATCAATGGTTTAAAAATTCTTTGTCATTATGGACCAAAATAGATATGAGCAGGTAAAAGATCGAGATATAACAGAATATTGTGAACAATATAATAGGGTACATGCAATATTTACGAAAAGTGGAAAACTCACAAAACCTGACCAGTTTATCTTGAATACCTAATCTAAATTACATTAAGAACTAATAACTTATATAGTACTCTATGCAATTTTTGATGTTATTTTTATTTAATTATAGATTCTTTGCCTTCAAGAAGTACAAGAATCCCACATTGTTGATTATTATTCAACTCTGAAGATTTTGGGTATGTACAATCCTTTTAAATTATAGGTAGATAGATCTTTATTTAAATAGGAAACCTAGTGTTGATAGAAGTACACTATAAATTTTGTTGATATGTTGTTTGAGCAATGTTTTAAAATTATTGAAAATAGTACATTTTTTATCAGGTAACAGGATGCAGGTAACTAATTAAACTTAAGAAAGCTTTTAAGAAAGAGTGAATTTATCATACTTTTATATGAGGCGCAAAGAGTAGCCTAACTTGAAAAACTGATTTTGAGAAAAAGACAATTTAAGTTTTATTCAATTTGACAGCTCTCTGTTTCTCTAAGAATTATTAACCTTAGTTTTTAATTTCAACACCTTAAATTAAGTTAGTAAATTTCATTTTAAACTAATATCACAAAAAAGGTAAAATTTTCAAAATCTTTTTGGAAAAAAAATTGTAAGCCACTCTTACCAACATTATTTAAATAAAAAAAATAAAGTGCGCTTTTGCATAAAATATATTTTTACAATACTTGTATACCAAAAGTGAACAAAAGCCAAAACAGTGCCCTTAACTAATTTTTTTATAAACATTTAATCCATCATTTGTTCGGAATCTTCTATAGCGTAAAACACATATTATCTTCTCCATCATCATTACTTTGTATATGTTGATCTAAATTTTTAACATTTAGATTGTTATAAAAGTTATGTAAATAAGGTGGTACATACACTAACAAATCTTGTAAATTGCTAAATTTAGCTGCTTCAATGTCTCTATGTATTTTGGGTACAAAAGTGGAAGTTTTTCATTAAATGTAGATCTATTACGCTTCGTAATGCCTATATATTTAAAAATAACCTTCGGATCGTTGGATTCTTTATAATACAATTCTAGTTTTTCCATCAGATAGATTATAACTATTATTATTGGAGATATTTACTAAAATAACGGAATGATCAGTTATTTTTGGACAATCGTGAACATAAGCACTTAAGCCGGGTACACACATGCCAGTAAATTGGGAAAGTAGCTGGCATGCCAGTTGATGGCATAGGCCAGTAACTGGTAAGCACAAAACACATTTGCTAGTAATTGGCATGCCAGTAGCTCGCATGCCACTACTGGCAAGGCGAAAAAGCAGGGTAGATTTTTACACATGCCAGTGCTAGTAAAGAATCAAGTGGTTTTCATCTGAAAGTAAAGTAATTGTTTTGTAATTAAAGGTTTTTGAGTTTCCAACAAAAAAGGGGATGCATGGAAGGTATTGGGAATGAATTTAACAAGCAAATACTGCTGATGACCACAGATATTGTTAGAAATTTAATAATAAATGCGAAGTGGAACTCAAAAAAGAGAAAAATTTTGGTGAAAAATTGGATTGTTATGAAAGAAAATCTTGGAGCAATTTTTTTATTTCGGCCTTTATCTCCGTTGTGGTAATACCTTGGCCAATTGGTTCTTGAATTTTTGTGTAGGCATTGTCACGGGCTATTTTATTTTTATATAGAGATAATTTAGAATTCAAATGACACTCCAATTCTCTATACATATATGGCAATAGATTTGATGGTTTTGCATCAAATCAACGAAACATTTTTAAATTAAGAAGTTTAAATATAAAACGATTAATTTTTATCACCAACACAACAAATCTGACAATTCCCTGCTAGCTACTGGCATGCCCGTAGCGGTAGCGAGCGTTCACACATGGCAGTGACACTCCCCAGGCGCCTTGCATCTCACAGCATGCTACTAGCAAGAAGAATCAAATTCTTTTCGATTAGCTCGCATGCCAGGAACTATAAGTTATAGCTATAGTTATAGTTATAACTTATAGCATGCCAGGTAACATACACACTTGCTAGTTTGGGGACAGTAGTGGTGCTTACTAGGTACTGGTATGCCATTGTGATAGTAACAGGCATGTGTATCTCCGGCTTTATATTATTTTGATTAGAAAGCACATAATTTACCATAGTTTCGCTAGTGTCAGTAATACGGGTAGGATTACTAATATATTATTTTATCCCATAAGCGGAAAACATTTTTTTTTATTTTTTCGTCATAGAAATTACTAGGCGACATGTTTATATTAAAATCACTAATTAACACAACGATACAACGTTTGCAGTAAATGAAGCATGACATATTTCTTCCAAATATTTAATGAATTGATCATCAGAACTGGATGGTGAATATTATAAACATCCCACCAAGTAAACCATGGATTTAAAATTAACTCTTTTACTTTGCACCAATAGTTATCACGTAATTTAAATGTTTTAGGATTTAAAGAATCATAATGTTTGATGATGTATACTATTGTATACCATAACACCTTCAGTGTATCTAGTCATTGAGTCACGGCGACTATGGCAATAATTTTCAAGTTTCACTTCCAATTTACTTAATATCTGATGTCCTAGTTTTTACTTTGCTTTGGTCGTTAATTATATCGGAGTTAAAAGGTATATTAGGGTTTATAAAGTGTTGTTTTGGGTGGATTTTGAAACAATAGTTGGTTTATTGTTAATGTATCTAATAGTTTTGGTAGTATCACCGTTATCAATAGTACTCTGTAGTTTATTCTTAATCGCTTTAAAATATTAATTAATTAATTAAATTAAAAAATAGCAATTAATTGTTTATTCATAAGAATAAATTTGGTATCTCTTTGGCATATTCTAAGTTAAGAATAACTTTTAGCCTAATCCCGTTTCCCACATATTTTCCCAAGCGAGCCACTTTTAAATTATTTTTGTCAATACTAAACTTATTCAATATTATCCCAATAGCTGTTGCATCTTCAGAATCACGCCCTGCTTGCTATTTCATTTTTGATTCATCAAAATTACAGACAATTATGTTAGAAGCCCGACTCTGCCTCTCAATTACCTCACATATTATTTGTTCTTTATCTTCCCTACTGTTAAAGTCATTACTGCCAACAGAATCTGATGGATTTTTTAAATGTTTGATTTCTAGCTCCATATGATCAATTTTCGCAAGCAATTTAGGAATAAGCTTTATCCCATTCTAACAATTCTTATAATAGAATTTAAGCATTCTCTTACCCTTTATAAGGGAGACTATATTAACTAACTATTCCATGTGCAGTAATAGTTAAACAAACTCCAGCCATAGTGTAGTGTTGCTAATTGTATCGAACACAAAAGAAGTAAGTGCTTTGTCAATTTTAGGTTATGATGGAATTTTTAAAAAGAGAACAGGTAGCCAAAGCGATGGTTGTGCTATCTATTACAAATCAGACAAAGTTAAAATGGTAGATTATAACCTGGTGCAGTTTTACCAGTCCGATATACCTGTATTGAATAGAGATAATGTAGGCATTGTTGCAAAATTTGTACCAACATTGCATCCCACAAGAGAATTTGTCGTGGCAACCACTCATCTCCTGTACAATCCTCGTAGGGATGACGTGAGGATGGCACAGATGCATCTACTCTTGACTGATATTGAGAAAATGAGTTACAAAAATGATAAAGGGTAAGTTTTACTGTCCTTATTTCATATATTGCAGCTTGGAATAATTATAAATGTTCCCTTTTATGCTGCTATTTTAATCACATTTTTTTAGGAATATACATTACTTGCCTATAATACTTACCGGTGACTTCAACTCTCCACCGCACTCCGACTTATACGAATTTATTACACATGGTGATATTAAGTATGAAAATTTAGCAGAACCGCTTAAAACACCTGGAGATTCTAGGAAACAGCAACTTGTTACCTCTTCCTTGGGAATCACAGGTAAACCATTGATTTCTATTTAATTAAAATATATACCGGCAAATTTAAAGGAACAGATATAAAATATATTTATTTTCTAGTTTCTAGACATTGTCCTTAAATATTTTACACATTATCTCTTGGAACAAAGTGTTATGTTTTTCAAAAATTGTACAATAATATGTAACCTGTTAAAGAAAAAATAAGTTGTCAGAACGAAACAAATATATATATATATATATATATATATATATATATATATATTTGTTTGATATATATATATATATATATATATATATATATATATATATATATATATATATTATATATATATATATATATATATATATATATATATACCCGGTATTTAGGCGGCACACGCCCTTCCGGTAGGAATCTATGGAGGAGTATCACCGAGCTGCAAGTCCTTATCTATTGCCGTACTGCTCCACCATAGGCCGATCAGACACCAGCATATTCTAGTATAAGCCGCAGATTCATTTTAGAATTTTAAACTGCTGCGTTAGACTTTTTGTTTTCTGTACACCGAGCTGGCAGTGAAGCGAGTGAGGAACCAGCCGCCCAGCCCGCTTGGCTATCTGACCGACACGAAACGAAACAAAATACTGGTTTTAAACAGCATAAACTAAAGATAATTCATAATGTTTTGGACCAGACGTATTCATTTAGTGACGTCGATTTACGAACGAAATAACGAAATCGGGCATTGCAAAAACATGCAGTTCTCAGTTCTCTTCAGTGCTAGTTCAAACTACTAGTACTTCGAACTAGTTTTTGCGCTATTGAAATAGCTTTAATATTTTTATTTTTATATTTTTCGTTTATAACGTATAAACAATCTAAAACTGAAAAAAAAAAAAACGAAAAATGGCTTAAAGCTCACAATTTTTGATTTCACCAAACCTTGTTTCTCTCTCTTTTTTATTTTCAGAAACTGTTTCAGTTTCTGCTAATTTAGTTTGGGCTTATTTGATTAAAAACATTTTTTTTAAGTTGTTTGAGGCCCTTATCACAACCTAAAAATGGATTTCTACAAAACTGTTTAATAAAATAGGACCACTTTTTGTATATGCGACCTCTGGAACATTATTCTGCAGTATTTTATGAAAGTGCTTATGCAAAAAATCTCATGGGAATATTTTCCCCAAAGAATTCGAGGTTTTCGTCTCATATAAATATATGTTTTGATGAATTTAAAGCCAAAATCCTATTATTTTTCTATAATACATTGATTTGTTATTTATTTGTTTGTCCTCTAGATTTTTTTCAGCTCTTAAAAGGTTTATTTATAACCCAAATTAGTGCAATGTAAACATTTTACACTTTTACACAGCAATTCTTATCGGCAGTGAAGACGGGAAGTCATAAATTTTTATTACATCTTTCAATGTGAGATAAAATAAAAATGTGATGACTAATTGGAATGTTTAAGATTAGAGAAACATAATATGTTATGTTTATTGGAAATACTCGATATTATTAGCATGTGCAAATCCTACACTGTCGCCTAATTTCAGGAGGTTTTGAAAGATTCTTACATACAACTGAAGTTATTCGTCTTCTCTTACGTATACTAAAGCTATCGATCAGTTGTTAGGTAGTCTCTCCCATTCCTCAATCAAAGCAATTCTTACTTCCTCTGTTTTCAATAACAGGAATTCATGCTCTAAGCCTATTACAGCATGTACATCCAGTTAGAATCTATGGAGAAGCTATGAGCATATTAACGTGTGTATTAAAAACGGCGTCAGTAGGTGTGGCTAACGATCATACCAATATGGCGGAGGGATCAGGGCCAGACTCAATAATATTAAAGCTACTATATAAATATGACTAATAGTTTTTCAGAAGATTTAATCATAAACTATAATTTATCCGCGGTAAACATTAAAAACACGACATATTATACATAAAGATAAATTATTACAGTCAAATAACAAGTTGAATCTGAAAGAAATAGATAAAGAAATGAATATACGGTATGTAATTAAAGAAATACGTTTGTTTTACAATTTATATATTTTATGACTACAAATTAACTGACACTTAAAAATTTAGTTCACTTAACAAAGTTAATATAGAAAATTATTATTATTAAAAAACAAAATTGAGTATCTGCCGAATATCACAATGGAAATACTGTGTAGAATTAAAAATAATGATGGTGCAGTAGTTAAAAAGAATGTATATATATTTTTTTAAGATAAAAATACGTTTATTGACGTTTCAATTTCCACTTCGGAAATCGTTCTCAAAATACATAACAGTCTCATTTATATTGACAATTCAGACATACATTATGCATTTTAAAGTAGACGACTTTAAAATGATATTGCCAATATTGTTGAGTTGCGCTCCTGGGACGACTTTACTTATAAGATAGTTCATTCGATTACATAAAATCAACTTTAACTTGAGAATATCCGTCAGAAAAAAATCATAGCATGTAATTCGTCTTTAAAAAGACAAACACATGACATGATGACAGTAAAATTCTCCTGTTAGTGATTCCATAGTAAATTATGAGGTTTTTTTCCTGGTTTTTCCCAAAAATATATATTACCTGTATGATATAAGCTATTTGAATAGCAGTGTCTTTCAAACGAATAGAAGAAAGTAAAGTTATATCAATATATTTTTCTAAAAAATGTTTTGAACATAAAACACTATATTTATTTGGTTTCTTTTGAAAACCTAAAAATACAATTACATGCATCACTAAGTATTAATAACAAATTTATATTTTAAATAATAATATGATTATTGAACTAAAAAATGTCATAAACAGCTTACAAATTGTTTATTAGTATCTTTATATTCTGTGTATTCATTATTTATATTTTATTGGAAGTGGATATTTTAATTACTATTTTGGAAACTTTTATAAATATTCAATAATTCGAAAAATTAATCGAGAAACTTTTTTAAGTTACTGTAAGATTTTTTATGAATACTACTAATTTATTCTCTGAAGTATGGACCATTACTTTGTTTACATATTTGTATACTAACCTGTGGAACGTTATTCCTTAAGATTTTTTATTAACATTGCCTTTGTTATTGCAACTACGTTGAGAACAAGAAACCATTATTATGCACTATCACAATATAATATTAAGTTTCTATAAAAGTATTGCAAAACTAAAAATATTCGAAAAATAACAAACGTAAACAGACACACACGATCTGTCAAAACGATCATAACAATATGGCCTAAGTGAGGTCGTTTTTAATCACTTGATGCCCTCTCCATAGATTCTAACTCGATGAGCATGTCCCACATATGCTCTATCAGATTCAGGTGTGGGGAAGAAGCTGGAAGGTTCATTGACCCTTGCATACTGTGACTTTGTAAATAAAGTATTGTGTTAATGATTTTGTTTTTAATTTTTTATGTCAAAACGTTCTTTACTTTCTGAATGACGAATGTAGATATCGATACTTAATTCTACCTATCGGTAGAATTGGATCAGTTCATAAATCCTGTTGCAATAATTTCATTCATAGTTCGAATTATATTTATGTAAGCAACTAGCTACAAAGGTACAAGGTACAAGGCAATGGCTTTTTGATGAATTTTAGTTTTATTTGCTAGCTTATAAATTGGGTTTGAACTCGTTTGAGTATGTACTCTAAATAGAATATTTTTCAATAAGTCAGTTTAAAGTTACGTCGAGTGTACTTATTTATTAGCTATAAATCATGTACTCCACAACTTCGAATTATTTCACATCGTCGATCGAGAAGTTCGGACATGGGAAATTAAATTTATATTCTAATTTATAAAAATTTAAAAGAATTTAAAAAAGGGCAAAGACAATACATTGTAGCGAATCGAGATATCAAACTTAATTAAAAAATAATGTATCTTAATCCTGGATTAGGGATTTTTTTTAATTAATCTGTGTAATAGAAATAAAAAAAGTTCTTGATTTGTAGTAAGTTGATGATCACTTGAAGACATAATTTGAGGAAAATATGGTCAACCAATTAAAAAACTCTTAATAGTTATAATTTTAAACTATTTTGCACAATGTATACACACCATATTAAAAAAATTAGTAAAATTTACTAAAACCCCACAGTTTGGTAGATAACTTTCTTTTTTAAAAATAGACCCATCTTATCTTTTATGTATCTATAGATCTTTTATTCTACTTACAGACAATAGCGAATATTTAAGAGAACTTCAACAGAGGCTCAAAGAATGTTCAATTATAGATATAACCAAAGATAAAGACGATTCAGATCTAAAATCGAGTTCGGATAAAAGACAATGTGATAAATCGCTTCAGAACAATAATAAGTATAAGAAAAGTAAAAGTCTGTCACACAATTTTGGTTTAAAATCGGTGTACAAACATGGATCTGGACCAACTGCAGAAGGAACTACTCATCAAGACGAATGGTTGACTGTAGACTACATATTTTACAGGTAATGTATTTTTTATTTTTTCTTAGTAATCATGATGGAAAAGACCAAGATAACCTTTCGTATGCCCAAAATGTTTATACCTTCTTTGGTGGTGAAGGGTCTTTGTGTACATTGTCGAATTATTTTGTTTGGATAATATAATAATGACCATCTTTCTTCTTTTTCAAGTGCTATCTTCATTACATAGGTTAGTAATTATCATGGCCACTCTAAATTTCCAAGTATATTCTCTAAATAGTTGTTTTGAGCTGCCATCATACTATCCTCTTAGTTTTTCGGCCAAGATATCTGTTCTCTTCCAACACACCTTCTGGTCTTTGGGTGTGTTTGGATTTATGACCTTGGTTTAGGACCAATTGGTCAGCTCAAAGTTTTATTCAAATTATCATGTTTATACATTTCGATACAATTTCCTAGTTAGCTGAGATACATAATATTTTGATAGATACTAATACTAAATACTAATGCCTAATTCGCACTATGCTAGCATTTTAGTCAAGTAGCGAGTAGATTAGTAACTAAACATGTCTTAACAACAAAAATTTACTTGAGTAGATTAGTCAGTAATTCTCGAGAAGTAAAAGTCAAGTCGATCCATTTTTTTATATAGTCCACTACTGAACATAGGCCGCTTCCTCGTGTTTCCAACCCTGTCTATCTTACGCCGCTCTTATCCAGTCTTTATTAAGCCTTCTTAACTCGTCAGCCCATCGTGTAGGTGGTCGACCGGTGCTTCCTTATCTTGCCTCCATTCCAATAATCTCTTTGTTCATCGCCCATCTGTCATTCTATCTATGTGTCATGTCCATCTCCATTTTAGTCTGGCTATCCTTTCGATGACGTCAGTCAGCCTGGTTCTTCTCCCGATCTCTTCGTTTTTTCTTTGTCTGGCAGAGTTTTTCCTAACATGAATAGATCCATTCCTCTCAGTGCGAGGCTCAGTTTGGTAACCGAGGCTGTTGTTAAGGTAAGGTTAGGTTATGTTAGTTAAGGTTAGTGTTTCTGCTCTGTATGTCTACATTGGAAGGACGCATTGATCAAATACTTTTCTCTTCAGGCATGTGGGCAACTCATTTTTAAAAATGTCTATCAGTTTTCCATATGCTGACCATCCAAGATCGATTCTTCTCTTCAGTTCATGGGTCTGATTATCCCCGCCAATCATAATTTAATGTCCTAGGTGTTTATATTTATCTTTTGAGTTCTATTTCTTGCCCACCAATTCTGATGTTCTGGTTGAGTACCAAATTTGTCATTCTTTTTGTTTTCGAGATGTTTATAGTTGAACCTACATTTTCTGTAGCCACAATGAGTTCCTGTACCATCTCTCTTGCCATTCCTATATCTTCAGCTGCTATCACTATATCATCGTCGAAACGTGAGTTATTTAGATACTCTCCATCTATATTTATTCCCTTTGTCAGCCAATCCAAATTCTTGAAAGAATATTTCAGCACAGTATTAAAAAGTTTAGGTGACATTGGGTCTCCTTGTCTAACCCCTCGCTCTATTTTTATGTGATTACTATTAGTATGTAATTTGCATTATAAAAATATATAAAACAATCCGCGTACTTGGATTTAGAAAAAATAATGAATATACTCGGGTTTGGTGAAATTGAAATTAAGTTGAAAATTAAAAACATCAGGTTAGTGCATAATTTTATTATTTTAAATTTTTATTTTATTTCAATTTTTATTTTATTTCATATTTATTACTATTAGACAATAAGCTCTTAATTATTATTATTATTAATATTGTTTTTAGAAGTAGTTTTATCTAACGAGATCCATTCCTTTTTAGATCGACCTACTTATAGGAGGATAGGAGGAGTTAAAAAAATATAGGATAAATTACAGGCACTGGAACTGACGCGGTTTATATTCCTTCAATAAAATGGTTCAGTTTATTGGATGCATCTCTGCGAAAGTTAACCTCAATTCTGACACAAAGTGAAAGTAAATTGGTAAGTGCCCACCCATATATGTATACCCATTATTACAATACAATAATTATAATACATTCATCTGTACCTCTGTCTGTCTATTGTGGTCTAGTGTTGGTGACCCGGTAGTTTTCAATGTATCATTGGTGTCTGCCAAGAGACAGATCCGCTTCCGACAAAATAATTTGCATATCTCTTCCGACGATCTGTGTACTTTTGGGATGAACGGTTACTTAAAGGTTAATTGGTAGCGGTTGCATTCCGAGAGGCTTTGATTTATTTCTCCAATTACCAGAAATAGTTTCTGCTTCATAATTGTTTGTGTGTACTGTGTATTTATTTTTTTCTTTTTGTTTTCAATTTTGATCGGTGGAGCCAAATATGTAAAGCGTAACAGGTCTTTACTATTTCAAAAACATTCAGGACTATAGAGCATCGGTTTCTCAAACATTCTGAATGGAACTAGGACATGATCCTCTGGTAGAACACCGGTTGGTTCCTAATTATTGGTACAAACTTCAGTTACGATATCCGCTACCATCAGAAACCCTTCCATTTCACCCAACGTCTATATGACTAGAGCAATATTTATTATCTACAACATCCATTCAGACAATGCCGTTTGTCTCGTTGTAATTATAGTATTTCTTCTTCTTCTAGTGCCGTCTCCACTGATGAAGGTTGGCTATAACCATTGCAAATTCGTATCTGTCTTCTGCTTCTCTTAAGAGCGTCTGTGTGTTTAACCTGGTCCAGTCGCGAAAGTTTTTCAGCCAGGGTATTTGTCGTTTACCAGGACCCCTTTTCCTTCGATTTTACTCTTCATAATCAGCTGCAACAACTCGTACTCATGATTTCTAAGTATGTGCCCCAAATATGTTGCCTTTCGCCTTTAATGGTGGTTAAAAGTTCTCTGTTTCTTCCCATTCTGTGCAACACAATTTTGTTCGTAATATGATCGGTCCATGGTATCTTCAAAATTCTATTACAAAGCCACATCTCAAAAGCTTCCAGTTTTCTCATTAAGTCAACATTAACAGTCCAGGTTTCGACACCATAAAGAATAATAGAGTGGATATAGCATTTTACCATCCAATATCGGATTTGCAGATTGAGTCTTTGGTTACTCATAAATTTCCTCATCTTCAAAAAGGCTGATTTCGGATGCAGATCTTCCGTAATCCAGACTCCTAAGTATTTCATTTTGTCCACTTCAATATCTTCATTTTTCATCTGGATCCTTGTAATGACTTGTAAGTAATGCCCCTCTTACTGATACCCATGGTTTTTGTTTTCTTTATGTTTATTGTTAAACCAAACTGTTCCCCTCCTCCTCCTAAGTGCCTTCTTTATTGAGGTTGGCGATCAATATGGCAAATTTCTCTCTGTTCTGGGGTTGATGGATTAAGTCATTTCCTGTTGTGTGAGTCCAATCTCTGATGTTTCGGAGCCAGGATTTCTTCTTTCTTCCTATACCCCTTTTACCCTCGATTTTGCCTTCTAATATTACCTGGAGCTGCTCAAATTCCTTATGGCGCATTATGTGTCCTAGATATGACGTCTTTCTAATTTTGATTGTATTAACCAGATGAGGTGAGAAAGAGATGACTTCCACCTTCTTGACAGCCGCACAAAATATGGGCCTTAAAATAAACGAGGAAAAAACCAAAATGTTAGCATCTATTCCAAATAACAGAGATAGAGCTAGAAACGCCGAACAAAACTTCAGTATAGACCAATATAATTTTGAGGTAGTAAATAAGTTTACATATTTGGGTTCTCTCATAACAAACGATAATGACACATCTGAAGAAGTTAAACGGAGGGTACTGCTAGCAAACAAATGTTATTTTGGACTAAGCAAGCAGCTAAAAAACAGAAATTTAAGCCAGAAAACCAAACTAATAATATATCGAACACTCATCCTACCAGTGCTGACATATGGGTCAGAAACATGGACCATCTCCAAAACAGACGCAAATCTTCTGCTCGTCTTCGAAAGGAGGATACTAAGAAGAATAATGGGCGCATTCTGTGAGAATCGTATTTGGAGAAGGCGATATAATTTCGAATTTTACGAGAAGTACAAAAAAATAGTAAATGGTAGAGATGTAATGTCCTTCATAAAAATAGGTAGGCTTAGAGGGGCTGGACCTATGTCAAGAGCAAATGAAAATTACCCACCCAGACGAACTCTATTATTGGTCCCAGTGGGAAATAGGAGTAGAGGCAGACCACGACTGAGATGGAGGGACGGTGTGGACGAGGACGCAAGGAAAATCGGCGCGGCAAATTGGCAACGGTTGGCGATGAACAGAAACGACTGGCGAAATAGACTGGGGAAGGTCAAGGCTGAACTAGAGCTGTAGCACCACTGATGATGATGAACCAGATGAGGTCGTGTGTTTATTATTTCCAGTACCTCTTCATTTGTAGTTTTGCTGGTCCAGCTTATTCTTAGCATTCGGCGGTAATCCACATTTCGAATGAATTCAGTTTGTTGACGTCATACTGTTTTAATGTCCAGGTCTCACAGCCATATAGTAGTAGAGACCACACATAACACTTTAGTGTTCTTTAGTGTTCCCCAGTATTACAAATTGTGTTTAGTAACGTCTGCAGGTCTGTCTCACTTTCAGCGATAATGACTGTATTGTCAGTATAACGGATGTTATTTATATTTTCACCATTTATCTTGATCCCTTGTGTGCAGTTTTTAAGTGCTTGCGTAAATAACTCTTCGGAATATATATTAAATAATAGTAATGGTGAAAGTACACAGTCCTGTCTCACTCCTCTACTTATCTGTTGCGCATCCGTGCTATATGTTACCACAGCCTGTTGGTTCCAATGGAGATTTCTCACTATGTTAATGTCATTTTTGTCGAGTCCTTTTCTCTTTAGACATTCCATGAGAATGTTATGTTTAACTTTGTCGAAAGCTTTCTCATAGTCTATAAACGCAACGAAAAGATCTTTTTGTTGGTCTCGACATTTTTGGACAAAAATTGTGAAACTATACATAGCTTCCACTGTTCCGAAGCCGTTACGAAAGCCAGACTGTCTATTACTCATATCCGCTTCGCACTTTCTGAATATTCTTGCATGTATATTCGTTAAAAATGTTTTTAATAAGTGTGACATTAAGCTGATTAATCTATAGTCATTACAGAGTTTGGGGTTCTTGGTTTTTGGTAGCGGAACAAAGGTCGATAGCAGCCATTCTATAGGTATCTCATCAGATTTGTATTTGTTGTTAAAGAGCACTTAAATTGTCTTCGTCTATAAGTTTAATCAACTCGATATGAACTTCATCTGTCCCAGGAGCTCTGTCAGATTTTGAGTTGTTTATAGCATGTTGGACTTCAAATTTTAATATTATTGGAGGTTCCACGTTATCAATTTGTGTTGATTCCGTTTTTGTGTCCATAAAAAGATCTTCAATAAATTTAGTCCATACTTATTTTACTTCAATTGGGTTTTATTGTTTTTGTCAATTAATCGGTTAGGTGTATTTGTTCGTGATTTTCCAGATAATTCTTCCACTTCGATGCATGTTTCCATCATCCTGTTTTCCTTAGCCTCTTTTATTTTGTTCCTTATTAATTTATGTTTTTCTCTGTACTTATTTGGCTTTTTGTTTCTATATTTTCTTCTTTGTTCCATGATTTTTAGTATTTCTTGAGTCATCCTAGGTTTTCGACTTCTGTTTTCTTTTGGAATGTTCACTTTCTCAGTGTTTTTTAATAAGTTAATTATAGTACAAACTTCAGGGAGTGCTTTAATGACATGTTTGCCGTCGATTGTTCCACAGCACCAAAAGGTTCCACTGTTTTCGAAAACCATTTTTAATTATATTCCAGTCCGTAATAGTAGTAATCTGAAAAAAAAATTATGTTCATGAATACTTTGATATTAATCACATTTTGCTTTTTCAGGCTTGCAATAGGTCATACACTGATGGTACAGATACTGAGCAAAATTGTACCGTAGATGACTTTTTTCGTGAACACTTCCTAATAAACCCCAAACAAAAAAAAGAAGAAGATAGCCCAGCTCTCCAGCATGGCCATGATACTAATAACTCTAAGTCGAAGAAAATGAGTTTGAGGTCTTCGGTGAAAACATCAGCCTTCAATCGAAGTCTCTGCCCTTACTATTGACATTATAAGCACAAGAGCACTTTCAACTTTACTTAAATAGATTTCGACGTCAGCACCTTCAAAACGCATTTGAACGAAACACAATCGTCAGGACGCCACACGTATCCTGCAGAATCCCCATAAAGACATTCTTCAATATATTATAATGACATTAGTAACTACAATTTGGAAGATGAGGCAACTGAATGTTTTTCCTCGTCCATTTTACTTGCACTTCATTCTGAACATGTTTCGGATTATCGGCCTTCCTCAAATACGTTTTCATCTGGCCATATAAACAATAATAAAACGAAGAGTAATGTTACAATCATATCAAATGACTTAATTTTAACAGCAATGCAAAACGCTAATGTTGATAATCAAAAGTTATGGGAGCAAATAAAACACTTATAATGAAAATAATACCTAACAATTTTGAAAATGATTATATTAATAAATAAATGTTTCATAATAAATCTGTTATAATTATTTAATCTTACGTCAATAAATGCCATTAATGATTCATAGATCGCTTAACCAACTTTTATTAGGAATTCGGAAATAGTTTATTGCATCGTAGTTGGCAATTTTTTGTAGCATGTTATTACAGGAACATTTCGGAAGGATTTTAGGATATAAATATAAGATTGGCCAAATTATACGGAAATTCAAGACTGACCAAAAAATCTTGTTTAGATTATTTCAATAGTATAAAGAATTAAAAAATAATTGAGGATATTTATATTTTAACATTTTATATAGACAATTAAGATTTGACTTCACGTAAAGATCCTCTTTTTTAAATATCAATTTTCATTTTTTTTATGTGGTAAATAATTTTATAAAACGTCATTTAATGTGTGCCTACATAAAATGTCATTTAAGTTGACAGAAGGTGTAACTACTGCTGTTAATAACGTTTGATTTAGTATTTGGAAGAAGAAAGTGGCCGATCCTAGTTTATTCTTGTTGGCTGGATATAAACTATGTTTGTTTCTTGCTTTGTTTAAGATCTGAATGAAGTACCGATTTGTAATGTCGTTAAATCACGGTTTTCTTGAGTTTGTTTCAATGTTTGCAGTGGTTAGAAGTCTAACCACTGTTTCATTTTCGTTAATTCCAGAATGGGCCTTAATCCAACCCAAAGAGATTTGTTTATCTTTATTCGTAAGCAAGGACCACTATTAAAATTGTTATAATGAGCACTGATGAAGGGCTTGATAATGTAGTTTGTCTTACTGTGTCTCCCGAAATTTTGCTGTTAATATAATAAACTTGCACTTGTGATGGGTATTAGTATACCTCAAATATTGAAGAATTGTGATGAGCTCTGCGGTGTAAATAGGTAGATTTTCATTTGAATGGCAAAAAGCGTCCAGTAGACTCGTCAAATGTGGATCGATGTTTGTAAATATAATCTGACTCTGGCCATCTCTCCAGAATTTATGTTAAATGAATTAAAATTGTTTCAATATTAAGATAATAGTAATGGATATACAATTCTAATAGGTTAGAATCACAATTATAGATAGGAAGGACGTCGTTTCTATACAACTCACTATTAGATTGAATGACTCGCTGATATAATTTTGATTTTTACTATCGCTGATTTTTACCTACTTATTATTCTGGAATGATTTTTATTTCGCTAGGAGGAACTATCTATTTTTTAGTTGAGCTCCTATATTTTGCCAGATCTTTTTTTTTATAGGAGTTTTGACTTAAAAATAACAAAGAAATTGTCGTTACTTTGTGTGACTAACATATCTTAGTATATTTATTATATTTTCACATTTTTTAAATCAATGGTGAATATGTTCTTTCCAAGAGAGCTTTTTATTTAAAAGTATGCCAAGGCGTTTAATTGATTTTTTATATTGGACTATGAATGGTCCTGTATTAATTTGATTTGGTGGCTGATATCGTTTTCTTGTAAATGAACAAATCTCTAATTTGTCTAAAGAGATGCAGAATCCGTTTCTATGTAACCATTCGGCAATTCTTACTGTGGCGTACTCGCATTAATGGAAGCTTTAATCTATTTCTTGTGTGAATAAAAATGCAAAAGCCATCTGCGCATTGAAGTAATCTGTATTTATTAACTAGCGGACCCGACAGACTTCGTTCTGTCAAATAGATTTGGAATGTGGCAGTTTATTTCTTTATTTCTCCTGAACAGAATCGTCACCATGATGATAGGGCGGTGTGTAAGGGTCAGCTCGGGTGACCTAAGTATCTTCGCTACGAAGAACTGGCCACCATTTTAGACCCACTAAAAACCCCGACTGGGATGTCTGTCAGAGGACTTCAAACTAAGATGGGAACTTAAGGTTCAAACCTGATTGAAAAATAATATGGTATATCAGTCGGAATCATTGGGATGCTTGGTATCAAAACGTCTTCTCTTTTATACTTTCCTTTCAGTATAGTTGCTTCATCACGTTGTCCAATAATTTTTTTATCGCTAACCGTGTGCCGTTGCAAAGACGCGGTTGGTTAATACTTCTCAACATTATAACTACCGATCCAAACTTTAATTGAAGATTCTGAGGTGACTCTGGTGGCAGATTCTGAATCCTGGTAAATCCAGCGAGTTTAAAAGTTCATGCGGATAGTTGACTACGTCATCTTGGTTAGTAGCCGAATCAAGTGATTTATATATCCTCAATTCGCCTGTAATTTGTTCTTGAATTTTGAAATTTAATTAATTTACATATATATATTTTTTGCAGCCAATATAGCCCGTTCGCTCAACCAATCATGGTTTCTGTAATTTTGAGTAACATCTGGAAACAAACATCGGTTTGTTTGACAGATGCAACGACGTGACAACTGATGCAATTTATGTCGCATTCTGAAATTAAAACAAAAGAAAGATTATTGTGACGCCAATTAAATCTATAGCTCTTATATTTTTTGACTATTCTATTTGATCGGGTTCACGATATTATCACTTTTGTGTGAATGCATTAGATCCTCCAAGGCGAAAGCGCACACACACGAATGCGCACACACATACATTTAATTGAATTTGAACTTTGTGCAGCGACAATAAAGCGCAAATTGAGTCTTCGACGTTAGGAATTCACCTACATTGTTATGACTCTACATTTAGTTATAAAATATTTGTATGGGAAAAATAAAAATGCTGGTTTAGGGTTTTCATGTCGTAAAAACCATCTTTATACTTCAGGGAACGTTTTAAAAAAAGAATTGTTAAGATTGGTCCATGCGTTGTTGAGTTATGCGCTTACCAACAAATTTTGCGATTCATTTTTATATTATATATTGTTTAGACAACAGTGAGTGCTTGTAATTTAATATAAACTTCATTGAATAGCAATAAAGTTTAAATTGATTCTACATTTGGTTGGAAAATATTTGTATGGGAAAAAGAAAAGGGCTGTTTTAGGGTTTTCCCGAAAATTATTCGAATTTTTCTTGCCGTCCTTTGAGTTCAATGATCATCTTTCGTGGGATAGTGGAGCGTTTTTGCGAGAATTGAGGTAGGGAGGGTTTGTTTCTAGCTAGCGCTAGTACCAACTTTCCTCATCACCAAGTCATGGATAGTTAAGTTATACAATGTGTGTGGCACACCTCATGGAAATGAGTCCTTCAGCCTGTTGAGCCACCGAGTCATGCATAATTTGATTTAAAATAAGTTTTTTTCAGAATTATTTTGATTTAGATAGGAAAATGCTTAGATTGTGACCTGTGGTTGGCGTTATTGTTTTTTAAAGATCATATCTGTTTCAATTTTTTAAACATTATTTATTCTTTATAGCATAAAGAAGAAAAATAAGATCCAAAGTGATAAGTTACAACTACTGTCAAGATACAGATTACCCTTATGTCAAGAGTTACAGGGCGTACGAATACCAAACTCTTTTATAGGATCCGATCATTTATCCCTTATTGCGAAATTCAAGTTAGAATTTTGACCAGTGATACTATTTTATATGAAATATATTTTCCTGTTAAAACGTCGTTCGTTTTTTTGTTAATTTAATTATTTTTAGGATGTTGTTGTATTTTTAATATTTCATTTTAATAAAAAAACATTAACAAAAGTAATGGCAGACCTTCCAGATAGACTATAGTTACAGTTTTTTTAACAATATTAGATTTTTTAACAATAGAGTCCCATTGGCAAATGAGATTGAAGATAATTAATGTATTCTAGACAATCTCAATCTTGAAATCCAAGCTCTGGAATTGAAATTAAGAATGCGAAACACGTTATCCTATGCACACATAAATATCAAAATGGTACATGGAGAAACAATTGAAATATTATAACAATTTTGGCTCCTCTGAACGATATGAATAATAAAATGTTAAATAGGAATAAGGAGAATAATCGAATTCGTTAGAAATATCTATAAAGTAAATATATTTCACATCCAGCTGACAGCTCCATATTGCCCATGGATATCGATTTCAAACAAATACTGCTTTGCACTGTCCGAAACAACTATTAAAATAACAAGTAAAACTTACAAACTACAAACAAACATATATAAATAGTGTAAATATCTGTAAAAAGTAAGTGGACATTTCAATTTGACAATTGACAGATAAAGAACGATACGATAAGATCAGTACATCGATATAATATATAGATGAAACCTATGAAATACATATTTGCGTCCAAAGTTGTTATTTACATTTGAGTTAGAGATAAAATGACGTTTAACATTGTAAAATTAAAAAATTAGTATTTTTATAAAATAAAGAATACTTTAAATTATTGGCTTTACACATGTTTTAATATTAAAGTATCGAGGATAACTATGTTCACATTAGTCACCTGCCAAAGTGACGTCGGACATTGTAGTCGATAATGTGATGTCAGTTTCGTCAGTGATCAGCTACAGGTAAAAATATCGACATGTTTTATAATTAAATATAGACTAATAATATATAAAAATATAGACTAATAATCTACAAGCCCATGAGAGATTTTAATGGGCCATTTTGCCCAGCATGAATCACATGTTCATCAATACTATAATATGTAATAACAACTTTAGAAACTATGCCGTCGTGAGCCACAACAAAGAGAAACTTACCACTCATGTTGTTAAGTTTTTTTTGGCCAAACATTTTTGTACGGCATTTATAACTTAGGTACAAAAATAATGACTTGCGACCTAATGTCGTACAAAAATATTGGTACTAAGAGCAGGGAAATTTTTTTATTTTCGGAAAACTTTTTCCCATTTTCGGTAATTTGACAGTTTCAGTGCACAAAGTTTCGAATCAGTATATAGATTAATTTTTTGCAATGCCGTACATTTTGGCTGGGGCAGGGGTGATAGATCTAGGCCCTTAATTTGAACCCACATGCTTCGTGCACCGATAAGAATTGGCGGCATAGTTTCTAAAGATATTATTACAAAGTGTAGTATTGATTTATGTGATTCATGCTGTGTCAAATGACCCATTAAAAATATACCATGGACTTGTAGTCTATAAACTAAACCTAGTCAGACGTTCGAACGAAAGAACTCAAGGAGACATAAACCTTTCAAAATAACGTATGTCAAGAATAATAAATTTTAAGATATTAAAACGGAAGTAAGTGTTAAGAATAGTTACGTTCTTTTTCTAATATTGAAAAAAGGAAAGTCTTCCGAGCCGTTGAGGTGAAAAAGCTTTTGCCGCTATCTGAGAGATTTAGAAGGAGAAGAAGGTAAGTTTCTATTGTTGAGTAAAAATTAAGGAAATGATGAAAAGGATAAGTGAGACATTATATAGTATGGAGGAGAGAGGTATAAGAATAAAAGAAACAATTGATGAAGTGCAAAATGATTTATAGCTAATGAAAGTGGAAATGGAAAATTAAAGTCGAAAATGCAGGATTAAAATCAAAAAATAATCCACATGAAAAAAGAATAGAAGAGCTAGTAAGAAAGTAAAATTTAGTATATGGTGTAACAGAAAATAGTGAAAAAGAAAATCATAAAAAACTAGTATAAAAGATATTTCACTTAAAATCCAATTTCCACTAAATGAAAATACCGATATAATAGATGTAAAACGTGTTGTACGAGACCTAGTAACACTGGAACTTAAAAGCGGTACCAAAAGAATAGAAATAATGAAGCAATCGAGAAAACTAAAAGGAACGGATATTTACATAAGTAAAGAGTACTTCAGGGAAATACAAGACCACTTAAGCCATAGAAGAATACTTAAACAACACTTAAAGGAAGCAAGACAAAAAGGCATCGCTAAATTATAATGAGCTAAACATATAGTCTAGAAATATTAGCATATAAGAGAAAACAAACAAAGCGAAACTCTGAATAATGTAGCACCTCAAAGAAAACCTGGAGAAAGAGCATATACTGAAAGATAACCAGGAGGTGACGAAAATGGATTAAAAAATATGGCGAAAATAACCAAGGCCACAAAAAATACTAGTGCAAAGAGAAAAAACTAACTACAGTAGAACCCCTCTCGTCCGCCCTCGGATAGTCCGACGCTCCGGGTAATCCGACCTGCTTGGCTTCGCGGAAATCCCCGGCGGTCGATTTGTTTACGACGAAAATTTCTCCGAAAATCACAATCCATTTTGTCAGTATTATTTCGAACTTTGTGAGTTAAAGTGTGTACATTATTTTCAACATGTCAGGAGCAAAACGTAAATACGTTACGCGTTCGTTAAGTGAAAAACTTGCAGTGCTTCAAAGGCTGGACAAAGGTGAATCACTACAAAAAATTGCCAAGGAACTGAATGTAGGCGTTACGACTATTAAGGATTGGAGAAAAAATCGAAAAGAAATTGAATCACATACAATGACGATAGTAGATGGAGAAAACGCTCTTAAAAAGCGAAAAACATTAAAAAAAGCCTAAACTTGAACTGCTTGATAGTGCTCTATGGATGTGGTTCAGTCAAGAAAGAAGGAAGGGAACTCCGATATCTGGCCCAATTATAAAATAAAAGGCAATAATTTTGCACAAAAAACTAGAAGTCGGAAGTGAATTTAAAGCCAGTGAAGGCTGGATTGATCGTTGGAAAACCCGTCATGGTATCCGGTTTGTCTCAATTTGTGGTGAAAAATTATCTGCTGACGTCGAGGCGGCTAAGGAGTTTTCTGTGAAGTTTCAACAAATTGTAAAAGAAAATGAACTGTTACCTTGCCAAGTCTATAACATAGACGAGACAGGCCTAAACTATAAAATGCTTCCAAACAAAACCTTAAGTGCGTCAAATGAAACCGTAGCGGGAACGAAACTCATGAAAGATAGGCTAACTGTTGCTCCTTGTAGCAATGCTGACGGAACACACAAGCTTTCGCTGTTTGTCATAGGCAAATCTAAGAAGCCCAGGGCTTTCAAAAACATAAACTTATCATCCGTGCCGGTTTATTATCGCAACCAAAAATCTGCTTGGATGGACTGCAATCTTTTCAAATCTTGGTTTTTTGACGAGTTTGTGCCATGTGTTGAGAAGGACTTGACGAAAAAAAATCTTCCTGTTCGAGCTCTACTGCTATTAGACAACGCACCATCGCACCCTTCTGAGGAAGATTTAGTAAAAGGGATATAAAAGCTATCTTCCTCCCACCAAATGTCAAATCACTTATCCAGCCTATGGACCAGGGCGTGATAGAATGTTTTAAAAGGCGTTATCGCCGAAAATACATAAGCTCGATTTTAGAAAAATCCGAAGAAGGATGTGATATTTTCCAAGCCATGAAATCACTCAACATTAAAGATGCTATCTATACAATGGCTGAGTCTTGGGCAGAACTAAATCCTGACACGCTAAGAAAATCTTGGCGTAAGCTTTGGCCAGAAGTTATGATCGAAATTGACCAGGTCGAAGATGAGCAAAACGACGTGCAGGAAATCGTTACCAATCTTCAGACCCTGGATGCAAATATACCTGCTAGTGAAGTTGAGGAGTGGATTGAACAATGTGACAAAAACTGCGAAACCAGTGAAGTGCTGAACGATAACGAAATTGTTGCCGCTGTTATGGAACGTGACGGTGACGGAATCGTGAACTCAGAATCCGACAGTGATGATGATGACGAGCCTCCTGTCCGGATTTCACACACCGATGCCAAGAATGCTTTTGAAATTGGCCTTCAGTATATTGAGCAGAACTCAGCATCAACACCGATGGACATCGTGTGGATGAAAAAATGGAGGAACATTGCAGCTAAATCCAGAATTTCATCTTGTAAACAAAAATCTATTACTGATTTTTTTACTAAGTAAGCCTACATAGGTAAGCACTAATTTTTATGCTACCTTTTTTGACATTATATATTTACATACATATTTAATAAATAATGTACAAACAAAAGCTTTCTTGTATTTTATTGAAATATAATTATTTATTATATCACTGTAGAGAATAATACAGTCGTTTTTTAAAAACACATACATACGTCATACACAATGACTTTTTCTGATAATCCGACCTTTCTTGCGTTCCTACCATACTGCTAGTCCCGAGGGTGACGGATTAGAGGGGTTCTACTGTACTTATATGTAAAAGTTGAACATAGAAAAGGACCAAATACTCTTATCACTACAACAATTCGGCAAACAAATATGGAAAATGCGTGTATGGGATTTAAAGAAAATGTAAATAAAACTGAAGAAAACGAAGCTGGAAACATGATGACGAAACTAGTACTGAAAGAGAATAATTAATCAAACAAGAAAAAGAAATAAAAAAAATAGAGTAAAACTAGGAACCTGGAACGTTCATACATTATAGAGACCAGGGAAAATGGAAGAGTTATTAAGAGCAATGCAAAGATACAGGATCGACATACTAGCACTATAAGAAGTAAAATGAAGGGGAAAGGAAATATTAAAAAGAAAAATTACACAATATACTATTCAAGAAAAAAACAAGCAAAGGAAAAATGGTACGGAGATCATTAACAGTCAACAATAAGATACGGGACAT